CACCAGCACAGGATTCTAAAATAATCAGACTGTCTTCACTCACTAGGTTTTTTCTTTTAATACACTAATTACAAAACACAAGTCAGCATTTTTCTTTTTCAGTCGTCGTGTTTTCTGTAGCAAAAAATTTATTTTTTTCCTAGACTTCACAAGTTTTTTCTCTAATTTCCTCTTCATTACTTTTGAAGATGAATTTGTTAAATTAGCTTCTAGGTGGTTTTCTGCTACAGTAAGAGTGGAAGCTCACAAACAGTCTGAGTTTTGGGGGGCTGTGGGGTATGAGAAGTTGGTTCAGACTCAGGATGAGATGGAGAAAGAAAACTCACAATGTGCTCTCTGTATACATGTTGTATTGAATGTACAGTGCAGCTTGGTGCTGGGAAGTGGCAGCGTGGTTACAAGCGTGATGTAGAGAGAGCTGGTTGGTGAGGATGCTCAGAGGAGGACCAGCTTGTGGGTCGCCATGCTCGCCGGCGGGAGCAAGGGCCGCCAGGCAGGAGGAGGAGGAGGTGTTGCTTGCTGGTTGGTGTAGGTAGAAAAGAGAGCGGTCACCACGAGGTCAGGTCTTAAATAGCGGAGGTAGGCGTGGCTTAGTAGTTGACCTCCGTCATGTAAGGCGGCGCTGGTTGACCTAGATCACGAGGCAGACACTGGGGAATTCGCGGGGTCGGCTACTCAGCGACAAACAGCGTTTGTAGGGGAGGTATCCAGTACAGGGCTTCCTATTATTTGTCTTTTTCTATAGGTGAGCAGGGAAAGCCTCAAATATACTAGGAACAGCATTTTCTCGTGGTCTGATGCAAAACAAAGAAGTCCTGTCAAAATCTTCAGGGGCAAAATGCTTAGAGCAGAGACATGCTCGTTTGCCTGGTGTGTACGTGTCTCTTTGTAGAGCCAAAACCCATTTTTGCCATGTGCATGGGTCCTTCGGCAGCCTGTGAAAAAGATTAATATCGAGATGTAATGTTAATCCTCTTTTATCCCATAAGAAAGACCTTCCTGTCTATTATCAAGCACATTCATTCTGGGAAGCAAACTAAAACCAAATTAAATATTTAACTACTGGTGAAATGTAACAGACAGCTCAGTCTTCTTGTTAGCCCTTTAGTTGCACCCAATAATCACATTTTTCCATACTAAGAATACTGTACTCTGATATTTAAAAAATTAGAGATTCAAACATTTTCCCTACAATTTACTCCATTCACTTTCTGATTTTCTTTATATATTTTATTTTACTTGTATAAACATCTGTACATATCCCAATAACAACAGATTTGCACTCATAGTTATGCTGTCAATAGAAATTCCATATACAGCTCCTCCCCGACTTACGACCTACTCGATTTACGACCACCAGCACTTACGACCTGCCTCAGTCGTACCAAAATTTTGTCAATTACAGGTAGTTCTGCTATAACGCGATAATTGTGTTCTTGTAAAATATCGTGTTATAGAAAATCGCGTAATAGAAATAACAGGGCTTATGGAGAAAATAGGGTTAGGTGCAGATTACTCGAAATCGAAAAAATTTAGTAGTTAGCCTAACACAAAGGATAGCACAGTCTAAATAAATGTTACATTCATATCTAATAATGAAATCATACAGTAAATGTAACACTTTACTTGATGGGGGAGAAGGGTGATTTTGAGGTTGATAAAATCGAGCTTCTCTTCAAGTGTTATATCCTTTCTTTTACGATCATCACCGGGAATTCTATCACCAGAACGCTTCTTGTTGATATTCTTCTTTATTATATTCACAGTTAATACTGTACCACAAAATTGGAGAAAGAGTAAGCAAAAATCGCGTTATAGCAAACAAGCGTTCGCGTAATACAAATATCGTTCCTAATTCATAAATCGCGTTAGAGCAAATTCGCGTTATCAAAACACGCGTTATAGCAGAACTCACTGTACGTATTTTCGAGTCCCAACGTCAGTACACAGACAAAATTTTCCTTTGTAATTCACCTTAAAATGGCTGGCAAGCTTAAAAGTGAGAGTTTTGTGGTGCTGAGAAGAAAAAGACACCCATTTTAAATTTTTTATGTATTATTTAAGCATTTTCGACGTGAAACCTGGATTTGGGTCCCTAACCCTGTCCTAAGTCGAGGAGGAGCTGTACTAGTAACAAGGAGAAAAGGGCAATATGGTACGCCTGCTAACTATAGTTGTATTATTTAATGTATATAAAATGTGAGAACCAAGCAACAGTAACTGTTCATATAACTATCGATGTAAATTCGTCAGAATGTAAAGAAACAAACATATGTCACTGACTAATAAAAGAGGAAGTAAAGAAACAAATAGGTTAATGTACAATATTTGGACAATATCGGTCGCCCAAGCCTAAAACTCACTGCTCTATAGTAGCTATACACTTTCTTGATAATAAATTTATAATGAAACATAATACAGACAGACCCCGACTTACGACTGCTACGACTTATAACCGTCGGGACTTACGACCGCCGCAGATTTTTTATTTTTTATTTTTTTTTTTTTTCCTTCAAATGACACACGCATTTTCTATACCGAAACGTTTCCAGTTAATGTAGTCTCCATGTATAATTAGAAAATTATGGGGGCCCCATGTGCATTCAGCTGACTACATTAAAGGTAAGTGCTCAGTCACACTGTAACCATTCTTTACTATTTATTACTTTCACTGTACTGTATCCATTCCTCATTATTCATTACTTTTACTGAACTGTATTTCATTGTAGATTATTTATTTAAAAAAAAAATATATATATATTTTTTTTTATCTATGTCGGACTTACGACCTGGATTTGGGTCCCTAACCCCGTCATAAGTCGGGGTCTATCTGTATACGCTAAATGATCTTATAATGGCCTTGATTTTCTTGACGATTTTCATTGTAATATCTGTGCTACTGTTATTTACTTACATCAGATCAAATCGCAATGAGATCACAGAGTCGACAATCCCGATGTCAGTTTGTATAAATTTATGCATATTACCGATACATAAGTATCGTAGCAAACTCCTTAGAATGTATAGAAAAATCTGTAAATTATTTATGACACAGGAAGAAATAGAAAATTAAAAAAGTGCGGTACAATAACCTGGCCATAACGGTTGCCTCAGTCTACAGTCACCCTTTACACACTGCATTACAAACTATAGATACTATGAGCGAGACCTGCACCAGATACATGTTTGTATTATGTACTGTACATTATATATCTACACAAAAGTATGGTAACAAACTCGTTAGAATGTACAGAAAAAATATTTAAAATTATTTATGACAGGAAGAAGGACTGGAGGATTAATAAAAAATAAACAATGCTGTATGAAATTCTGGTCATAATGGTCGCCAGAGTTTAACACTCAATTATCACCCCTTTACGTACTGCACTAGATACCAATGCCAGACACTTGCACCAGGTAGGGTTAATGCTTATTGGTTAACCACCTCCATAATGTGAACTGTGTATGTACTGCATCTATATTTGGACCTATTATTAATGTCACAGTAAATGCATATTTATGGAGCTGTAATGAGTGAAATCTCAGGTAGAAGGTAAAGTAGGAGTTATAGTTATAGGATTTGTAAGGTGAGGAAAGTTGGTAGTGTGGCCGAATAGTTATTGAACTTGGTATATTCTTAGGGGGAATTCTTCTGAACAACAATTCTAAGTACAGCTATTTATTAGTTTAATGAATGGCATGGACACATTAATAGATCATTATATTGACGTTTCTAGACAATGACTCCCGACCACAAACATGAAATGGATACACTTCCCACCATAAGTAACTCACCCTATGGATCGCTCTGACGACGACTCAAGTATGACCTGAGGGAGGCCCAGCAGCTGAGGACTCTGACTGCATGGCCTGGTACTGCTGGGGGGAGTGGTCCCAGTGGGCACTGGACTCTGTCTCCTGTAGGAGACTGCCAGCTGTGGATACGGTGCTGGGAAGGGAAGTTTCCCCTCCCGACCTCGACTTGCGTGTGACCTCGTCTGGCTCTGGGTTCTGTCTCTCTCTGTCTGACCCCTGGAAGGAGCTGTAGGGCCCTTTTATTGGAGGCCTCGGCAGATGTCGTCTCCTAATTAAGTTATCACCGATCTGGGTGAGTCTGAACAGGTGTGTTTGCTCAGATGTGCGGTGGTTCGGGGTCACAGGGCGTGGTGTGCTTATCGTGGTACGCCGGCTGGTAATGCTTCCTAATTATTACTAACCTGGGTGTGTACAGCCAGGTGTGTTTGGTCAGGTGTCAGTATACTGGCTGGAGACAGTTTCTTGGATTAACAAGATCATGTCTCCTGGTCTCTCATCACACAGTGGCGAGAGTTCTCGTGGCTCTGGTTGGGTCTGTGTGTGTGTGTTGTTGTTACACACACACACACACACACACACACACACACAAAACAGGTAAAAAAAAAATAACTGTCCTAAGGGCAAACACATAAAGGGAATATACATTTCTTTGCACATGAGTAAAAAATTTAACCCCTCCCCCCGGTAAGCAAATGATATTTGCGGATTTGGCAATTGGTGGCCATTTTGAGAACCAAACCTTCGAGAATTTTAAGGGCATGCTGTACTTACTTTTGTCCTCCTATAGATGCAGCTGAGGTGGACCTCTGCTGTGACCAGGCAGCTCAATAATCCTTGTGTCCTGCAGTGCTGGCAGGAAGTTAGGGTTTGTGCTGGCATTTCCTGGTATCGGGGGCTCATCAGCCATCTGTCAATATGGAGCTTGAAGGAGTCCGTTGTGACCTCTGACAGCTCCCTGATGTCTTTGGGCACAGAATTGAATAAGTAGACCCCATTATAAAAGAAGCAACTGTGTACAATGGTCCTCGAGCACTGGGTTTGTGGATTCTGACCTCTTAATGTTGAATTGAATTGAAACAGTTTATTTAGCCAGGAAAATACAGATACAGAGTGGATAATAATAGCAATATTAACATGGCTGAGCCAGTTGAGAACCTGAGCTCTCTTTGAGGCACCTGATATATACTATACATTTATGTCAAGGAAGTATTATGTAACATTTAGTATCATCTGGAATAGTACAATAGCATGGTGGTAATAAGTACATCTCATGATATTACCACGGTTATCACTTCAATATTTATTTATTTTATATATATATATATATATATATATATATATATATATATATATATATATATATATATATATATATATATATATATATATATATATATATATATATATATATATATATATATATATATATATATATATATTACAGTGGAATTGAAAAACATAAGTATAATGGGGGAGCAGTACATCATGGGTTGTACAGTATTAAGGTTGAACAAGAGGACAGAGCTGTCATGATTATGTCTAGTTGGCAATTATGTTTATTGCAATGGTAATTACGATACTTATTTATTTACATGATAATTTCCGATAAAATGGTTTTGATGATTTAAAGGAAGGGAGCGTAGTCTTTGCTCGGATGTGTGGGGGTAAGTTGTTCCACACCTTCACACCATGATATTTTATGAAGGTCTGGGACTGAGAGGAGCACATGGGGGGTGGTCTTAGTAGCTCTGGGTGTCTTAAGTTGTATCTCTGATTATTCCGGAACTGGAAATAAATATTGTCAAGCAAGTGATTGATAGATTTGTAAACAAAGAGGGCACAGCAGCAGGTGTTAATATCTTCGAATTTTAAAAATTTCAATACAGTAGAAGTCCAAAAATCCGGACTGCTTGGGGATTGGGTCGGTCCAGATTTTCGGATTTTCCGGATTCTCAGGCAGTACTTTTAAAATTCAAATTTCAGGAGAAATAAAGAAGAGATGAACAGGTACATTTTGATAGTTTATTCATTAGCAAATATAGCATGCTTCATTTATCAAAACAAGCAGTTTTAAAGATAAAGCTGTGAATTCTAAAATTTCATTCTTTGCCTTTTTTATATCATAAAAATTGTAGACTTTCCAATGTCGTATGTTTCCATTAGAACAGTATTGCTCACACCACGTTCTAGTTTCTTAATTATTTCAAGTTTGTCACTCAATTTCAACATGTTCTTTTTTCTCTTCACACAACGAAGTTTATCTACTTTAGGAGCCATTATTATGGGCTTGTACAGTACTCTGTAAATGGAAAGAGTAGGACTCAAAATTACATACGTTGCCACAGTCTGATTGCTCATTTTAAAGTGGTGACCGCGTGGTCGCTTGTTGTCGCTGTGCAGCTGTGGCGCTCACGCATGCACACACACAAAAGCCAGCTAAAAAAAAAAAATATAGAGTTTAAGTTTTGATAAGTCCGGATTCTCGGGTGGTCCGGATTTCCGGCATCCGGATTTTTGGACTTTTACTGTATAGCAAATTTTTCGTTTGTGTGATCTGTTTTTTTCAAGTACGCCATTTTCAATACAACTTACTTTTGTGCAGTAACCAGAGATTTTGTTTTTGAAGAGCCAGAGGCCCCCACATAGTGTGTGACAGTGTATTAGGTGTTGGTAAACAAGATCATGATAGATTTCTTTCATTGCTGTGAGAGTGAGTGACTGTCGAGTGTGATACATGATACCGCACTGTTTATTGATTTTACTGTGAATGGCTTGTATGTGGTTTCTCCAGTTAAGTTTCTCATCAACAATAACTCAGAGGAATTTAGTATTTTGTTCACGTTTGAGGACTATAATACCAAGGTACAGGGGGTCCAAGTCTGGGGGTAAGTTTTTTCCTTCCGTGAAAGATCGTGTTTAAGGTCAGTTTATTACGTATTACCCAGGTCCCGACTTTAGTTAATTCAGTGTTCTTGGGTGGTGGTTTGGGATCAGCCATCACATTTGGTACAAGTCCTTCCAGAATCTTCCAGACACAGGTCACCACGTAGCTCTCTCTCCATCTCTACGGTGGGTATAGTTTTAAATCTTTCAGCAGCACTCAGTAATTTATATGCTGGAGAACCTGGATTCTACTTGTGAAGCTCCTTTGGAGTGCTTCTATTCTTGTAATGTCACCTATTTTGTTGGGTGACCATAATTGGCACCAGTATTCTATCCTGGGTAGTACAAGAGCCTTCCAGAGGGTTAATATACAGCCCCTCTCTTGTCTGGAAGGTTCTCATGATCCACCCAGTCAGTTTTCTGGCTGTTTCTTTGAAATTATTGATGTGAAGAGTGAAGGATGTGCTTGCACTCACGTAAACTCCCAGGTCCCATACATGTTCCTTAGGTGGGATGGTAAGTTAGTGTACCTGGTAGATGGTTGTGACTTTTATGTCTTGCAATTGTCCATATCTCATCAATTCAAATTTGTCATTATTCATTTTCATATTGTTGGCTTCAGCACAATATAGCAGTCGGTATAAGTCCTCTTGTAATAATGCCACGTCGTCATAATTTTTAATTTTCCTTTTGACTCTTATGTCATCTGCAAAGTATGTCGCCTTTGTGTGTCAGAGTTCTGTATCAACTTCTCCTATCATTGTCAGGGATAGTAGGGGGCCCAGCACAGATCCTTGTGGCACTCTACTCTTAACCTTGCTTGAGTCTGAGAGGTGGCCTGTACTGATACTTTCTGAACTCTACTTGTCATGAAGCTGTATAGCCATTTCCCAAGACTCCCACTGATGCTGAGATCTCTTAGTTTATAGAGAACAATACTGTACCATGGTCGACCTAGTAAAACACCTTGGCAAAGTCCAGGTATACAACATCCACGTCCTTTTCATTTCGCATATCCTCTAGCAAGGCTTCATGGTGTAATAGCAGCTGTGAGAAGCAGGAATGGCCCTTCTTAAAGCCATGCTGTCCATCATTAAAGGCAGTCGAGATCTTTAGATCGCGACCAATCTTTCTCTTATTACTCTTTCCATTACAGTACAGTATTTTTACTGGGTGTGAGGTCAGTGTTACTGGCCTATAATTTTTAGCCAGTCCTTTGCTGCCTCCTTTGTGTATAGGTGACACTTTGCTCTCCTTTAAGGCTGGGGTACAATGCCTGTGTTTAATGACTTGGTACATAGCTGCTTCAGTTGGGGAGCTAGTTCCTTTTTACAGGTTCTCATAAATCTAGTGTGGCAATCAACTAGACCTGGTGCTATGCTGTCTATGGCTGATAATTATAATGTCCTCAATGCTTATGTCAATCTCTGTTAGTACTGTGCTTTTAGAATTTATGCCAGCTTCCCTGGGTCACCTTTAAGGTTGCCTTCTTCATTTTCAAATGGGCCTAATGTTGTTATACAGTAGTTCTTGACTTCCTATTAGCATCTACAAAGAAGAATTTTGAGTTCTCTTTCGTGCTGAGCACTACCCGTAGTTCCTCTAGTCTTCGTTGATTTTCATGTGATCGTAATAATTTAGTTTATATTTCCCAGAGGTTCTCTTGTAATTTTATTTTTGTCCTATGTGCTGATTTTTTTGCTAATTTAGCTTTAAACAGACATCTCTTCCTCATCAAAATATATCTGTCTCGTGGGATTAGTCTTCAACTTTACTACATGATTTAGTAGATACCTACTTGAGTAGTAGGAGCATATAAAAAAATACTGTATTAGAAATCTGTTTCACTTACCTTCAGTAATAAAGTTAGCTTCAACCTTTCGGATACCATTCTTCTCTGCCTGGGTGACAGAGTCTAAGTACTTCCCAGCCTTGACGTAGTGCATTATCTATTGTTGATGTAGCCAGGTGTTCTTGCCCTTATGCACAATGATCTCGCCTGCATAACAGACAATAAAAACATATTTATTATAATAAACCTAGATTTAATGTAATCAAGTTCAAACTCCAATGCAGTCTCCCCCATTGCCCCTCTAAAATAAATATGCCAGATTATGGGACTGAATAATATTATTCATATTTATATTAACTGTACATTATTTGCAGTTCAACAAATATATTGAAAGCTTTTTGTAGGTACGGTATTGGTATAAAAAAGACTTATAATTAATGATACTGAAAACATGTTATTACCACCAAATGGTTGTTGTGATTGTCAATATGCCAGATAATAAATTTATAAGCTGACCAAGAATGTCACATAAATATAAAATGCTGCCAAGTTTCTGTCAAAGAGAAATCTGCTTGAAAGGAGAAATTAACTATTTATACCTTCATAGTACCCAAATTTGTGCAAACACCAGGAATGCTCCAAAGTGATTGATCAAAAACCCAGTACCTGAGTAAATACCGTACTGTCCTGTTTGGCTGAGTACTACCTCATCAATTAAGGACCAGGACCAACACTAAATGGCAATGATGTTAATCATTAAATACCTTGTAAATTTACAACTTAATTTTTTTTCCTCTCACCATCTATTAAATAATAGTTTGGGACAACCCACTGCTGCATATGGCAGAGCCTTGTCCTATGCCAAGGGGGAGGGGGGCGAGGGGAATGGGTTAATTCTGTTTAATTCTGATAGCTGATAAAAGGCCTTTTTATTTTCTGATAATTTATTATTGATAACTGATAAATGGTCCATTTAATTGGTGATAATTGAAAAATAAGCCATTATATTTATAATGATTGATACCGCTTATGTCCTAGGTCTATCAAATAGCCTACATACAGATAGATGGCTAAGTAGTAGACAACTCTTTCAAAATTTTGGTAAATTTATATAGTACAAGACATAATTCACTAGTTGTTGTTTTGTTTTGTTTTTGTTAATGGTAAGTTCAGACAAAACAAGACAATTTTCACCTGTAACTCTTTTGGTGCATTTTACTCATAAGTAAGATTTCAGAGGTTGAAAATCAGAAAAATACCTAGTACAGGCCATCGACCCACAACAGGGCCTAGGGGGCGAAAAAACATGAGTAAAAGAAATTAAAAAAAGAAAAGAAAAATTATATTAATCTACACCACGAAGATACCGGAAAACCAGCTTTTTGAGGTGAGACAGATTGTATGAGTATGGAAACACAGAAGAAGGCAGAGCATTCCACAGTTTGGCTGTGTGAGGAAAGAAGGATGTACTGTTCTATAACAGGTTATTCTAGTGTGACCGACATTCACAGAGAAACAGTGGGTACCGTGGGCAAGACTTGTATTACGAGCCCACGGCCTTGCCGGTGGTACACAGGATGCCAAATCCACTGAACATTGCCCGTTAAAATACCTGTATAAGAGAGAGAGTGAAGCAACATTGTGGCGAAGAGAAACGGAAGAAAGATTACCCACTAAAGGAGGAGTTAATAAGACGAAATGCCTTTGATTCCACCCTATCTAACAGTTGGACAGAAGAAGAGCCACCCCAGATATGAGAGCAGTACTCCAAGTTAGGACGAATGAATCCCTTATATACTTGAAGCAACTGCTCAGGAGAGGAGTAGTTACGGCATCTGTACAGCATTCCCAACTTTCGGGAGGCAGCTTTAGCAATGTTGAGGATGTGTGGCTTCCATGACTTATTAGAGGAAATGGCGAGGCCTAGCATATCTATTTTAGAATTTGGCGGAATGATTGCATCCTGAAATGTGATTCGTGGGAGATCACCTAATTTGGAAAGTGTAATTGGTAAATACAGGTACTGTACTGTGTTTTATTACTTCAGTATTGAATTTAACCAAGTTTCTACCTTCCCATTCGGAGATGCTGCACAGATCCGCATTGATAGATGTAATGATATCAGCTCTAGAAACAGATCTAGTTTGAGAATTAGGGAGAAGGGGAAAATGTGGAGAAGAGTGAAGAGTAGAATCATCAGCATAAGAATAGATAGAATTAGTCATAGTGTGAAGACATTCATTGATAAAAAGAAGGAAGAGAGTAGGTGAAAGAACAGAACCATGTGGAACACCACTAGTAGTAGAGAAAGAGCGAGAGATCGATCCCTTGATAACAACTGCCATGGATCGGTTCTCAAGGAAGCTAGAAATTAGAGAACAAAGTGGGGGAGAGAAACCACAGGAAGGATGTTTAGAAAGCAGAGACTTGTGCCATACCCTATCAAATGCTTTTGAAATGTCGAGGGCCATGACAAAAGTTCCCCATAATCCTTAAGAGAGGATGACCAAAGATGGGTGCAGTAGGAAAGCAGATCACCAGTAGATCTCGCCTGACGTAAGTCATACTGGTGATCCGACAAAAGAGAATGATGCTCAAGGTAACGGAGAAAATGAGTTCAAATAGTTTCGAAAATATTAAGAGAGGGATGAAGTTAGGGCAATGGGGCGATAGTTAGAGGGATTGGAATGGTCACCCTTCTTCGGGATGGGCTGAACCAAGGCATGCTTCCGAGAAGAAGGAAAAGTTTGGGTTTTGAGGCAAAGGAGAAAGAGGCGAGCTAGCACAGGGGCTAGAACTTAAGCACAGTCCCTCAGAACACAAAGGGGGTATTCCTTCCGGTCCATGCGCCTTACTCACAACCAACCTGGATAACACACCAGCAATCCTACAAGTGGAGATTATAGGAAAGTGCATAGGTTCAGTAGGAGGAGCAGGGGTAAGAGGGATATAGTTGGAATCGTCGATGGTGGAGTTAGAGGAGAATAAGGTGCCAAAGAGATTGGCTTTATCAGGGGGAGAGTTGGCTACAGAGTTATCAGGTCAGAAGAGAGGAGGAAAAAAGGGAGTGCAGAAGTTATTACAGATGTTTTTGGTTAAGGACCACAAGGATTTACAAGAAGAATAATTAGTCAGAACAGCAGTCTTTCTTTTTAAAATATTACGTTTTTACAACGATTCCTAGAAGCTTAACTTGGCATGGGATAAAAGATGGGATAAATGATTTTTTCTTTGCAAAGAATAGTTTAGACAATTCTAAGACACTATTTTCTATGATGTTTCCCACACAAACACCCTAAAACTGAGATATTTAATATGCCAAGGGGTCTGAGGGTGGAGCCCCCCAGTTAGGAAGTTGGGTAAGGTTAGGCAGATTTGGATGGTGTTATCAACTACATATTACTAATTAACTTATCCTACTCACTTTTAACTAAGGTACAGTATTGTAGTTTCAGACATGACACCCCCAAAGTTTTAAACTACTGAGAAACATTTAGGTTCGGCTAGGTTAGTTTAAGCTAAGCCTATTGGGGGTCTGGGGGCAAAACCCCCGGCAAGGGTTAGGTCGGGTTAGATGACTCGTTAAGTTTTCTCCCCCACCCAAAAAACCCAATTTCCCAGGTTCTCCCCCATTATTGTTGGGGAAGGGGGGGGGAGCAAAAACGAGCAATTTCTGCCAAAAATGAAGGTCAGATTCGTTTTAAACACACCACAATACACTGGAAAAATATATTGGTCAACCCAGCGGCTATGAAGTAGTCCTAAATAATTACCGAGACAAAGTTGTGAGTGTGTGTCAGACAAAGTAATGCACACCTTGTCACCTAATTATCTATCAAAGGAAGCAATTTCTCCAAAAAATTACTATCACATAACTCACTGATGAAAATATAGTAAGAATATAAACATCAAAACAGGTAACGCATCAGCGGGTTTGTCATCAATATTTGCAACCTAAATATCTACAAAACGAAGCATTTGCACATGAAATTATTATTATATCAGAACTTACTGATGCAAAAAAAAAGTAAGATAATAAATAGTAAAAGAAATAACAAGTCAGCGGGTTAGCCATCAATATTAACCAAGCATCTTATTTTAAGCTATATATACAGTACTTACAACCAACAAGCAATAACTAAAATGCTAATTTTTCATTAACCCCCCCAATCACATTTTTTCACATGAAAAATATATTTTTTCGCTAGTTTTCTTGCTCTTTTAGATGATTCTGACGACATTTATCTTTGGGGCAAATCACTTTTTTTGTTTGTTAGGTTAGGTAAGGTTGTTAGGTGAGGTTAGGTTTTCTTGGCATTTTAGATGATTCTGATATTTCATTTATAATCAACTAAAACAGCAAGAATACCTAACCTAACTAAAAAAAAAAAAAAAAATATTTGCCCCAAAGGTAAATGTCAGAATCTTCTAAAACAGCAAGAAAACTAGCGTAAAAATATATTTTTCATGTGGAAAAAGGTGATGGGTGGAGAACAAAAAATGACCACTAAAATCACCTATCACTACTAGTAATCCGATAATTTGAGCAAAGAGTTGGCGGATAACCTAACCGTAGAGCCTGGGAACTTTAATCGCAGCCCAATGAGAGACTTGAGAGCCTTCACTCATTGTCGCAGGCCCTCGGCAGGTTTGTTTATATGAACTGCGCACAAAGCACAAGGAATATTCCTTGCATCATTGCATGAGCAGAACATGTATTTTGGTTCCGCGCATTGACAGTATAGTAAACCGGCGGTCCGACTAATTACCCAAATGTAGCCGCAATGAAGTCAAATAATGGTCCTACATGAATAAATTGGACTGCCAATCACTTCTCGACTAGTATTTGGTGTCACAAAGTAAAAAAAAAATTGGAAAACGTACTTTGATCTGAGTTAATAGATCACGTGCATGTGCCGAGGGAGCGAGTAATTACCCAAATGTACCCAAATGTAGTCACAATGAAGTCAAATGATGGTCCTACAAGCGTAAAACGGGCTGTGAATCACTTCTCGATTATTATTTGGTGTCATAAAGTCACAAAAAATTGGTAAACTTAATTTAATGAGTTGTGTTAGGTTAGGTTAGGTTAGGTTAGGTTAGATACATGCACTCGATCTATTAACTCAGATTAAATTAAGTTTACCAATTTTTTGTGACTTCGTGACACCAAATACCAGTCGAGAAGTGATTGGCAGTCCGATTTATTCATGTAGGACCATTATTTGACTTCATTGCGGCTACATTTGGGTAATTAGTCGGACCCGTAAACCGGTACATATCTCAAAGAACTCTAATTTACAGTATTTGAATCCTTGATATCTCGCATGTGACGTATTTTACACAACACCCGCACTATTTAACAGGGGGAATAGCCCCGATTGGCTTTAGTCCTTATATCAGTCTACCATGTTTGGTGATGAGGGTGTACAGTAATGACATGGAGTGAAATCCTTCATGAGAACCTCTATCCCGCTTTTCGGAATTTTCATTCACCCCCTGATCATCGTAAATGTACTGTATTGTTGAAATATATCACTAATTCCGAATAATTAAATTATTAGGCGAGTGTAGGAAGTCCCGACGGAAACCAATGTTCCTTGCCCCACGGTCACTGAGACGCATTATACCCAGTGGTGCCAGATGACTCCCCGCAAGATCGGCTATACCAAGGGTACGAAATGACTAGAAACTGTCTAAACTAAAAACAATATAGGCTAGAAATATGGCTAACTCTTCAGTGCATACATATTTAAATAGAAATTGAAGGAAACTACGCATTTTAATGAATGTTTTCCATACAAGCTCTTTTCTTATCATTTAGTTGGCCAAAAGTTGCGTGACAGAGACGTGACCGCTAGCCGCCCAATCTATTGGTGAAGATAAAAGAAAAGGAAAAGTAAACAGAGACGTAACCGATAGTCCAAGCGGTTAACGAGCCGATCAGTGGTGAAGAGGATAAAAGTAATAGTAATATGATGTTTCGCCCGTCATCGTCATCTCCATTTTCATCAGTGGATGATGTTGAAGGCTTGTCTGATGCATATTTGTTTGACTACTCATACTTATGACTTGAGGTTACAAGGTCGAGAACATCATTTGGAAAGTCATATGTTACGCAAGTTTCTGACATCCTTTTAAGGCCATAATGAATGTGAAGTAATGCATTAATGGTGTCTATTTTCATGTTATTCCTTAGCTTGCTCTTAACCAAGTTTATTTGACTAAACACTTTCGATTTCTGCATGTGTGGCAAAGTTAGGATAGTTAATGCAGCTCATGACCATTCTAGGTAAGGATTTAAGTTTGAAGCATCTTTGTACCTGCGAACTTCAGCCCAAATTTTTACCGTATCCTGAGTTATCCTCTTCACCACTGATCGGCTCGTTAGCCGCTTGAGCGATCGGTCACGTCTCTGTTACTTTTCTCTTTCTTTTATCCTCTTCACCAAATGATCGGCTTGTTAGCCGCTTGGGCGATCGGTCACGTCTCTGTTACGCACTGTTGGCAAGTACTGGGCATGCACCGGCTCCTGAATGTACCTGATGTCAAGTTCTTTGAAGACCTCACCAACAGCCTGGTAGATTGTCCAAAAGTTCACCGAAAAGTTTGCCCTCACAGCTGGATCATCTTGAGCTGTGACCCCTGAGGCGAGAGCGTCTACCAGCTCGTAAGGACACTCGACTGAGTAGTGCCCCGAGATGCTTATACACCTCAATTAGGTCGCCCTCAAAGCTAAGCAAGCTCCATTCTGTAGTTTAGGGCCGAAGCGCAGGCACCAGTCTGGGCCCCTCCTTTGAACATTTTCAACCAACTGACAGTCCCTAGCATATCTCGGGGACCAGACGGGTTGGACGCACCATTTTACTAGTGTAACATTTGACCACTGGAGTTCATTTTTCAAACTTTTGCACTAACACTCAAAGATTCTAGAAGAGGGGCAATGGGGTTTTTTACTACACGCAAAGCATTTGAGACGCTTAACAGTGACATTGTTTTCAATACTCGTACATTATCTGGGAATCTCAGGTTGCTTGATGAGACATACAAAATTTAGAGCATCGTTCCCGAAAGTTTTGCTCCCGCTCCACAGACAAATACACTGGCATTTCTGATAACATTTTCAAACCAAGATACAGTTTTGGTTCTAGATACTCCTCAAGGTTGCAGGTGAAAGGATCTATGTAATATCGATGAAAAGGTAGTATCACTCTTCACCAGCATTTCAATCAGAAGTGTCAGATCGTCCAATAACTTTGTGAGATCACAGTCATTAGATTCAAATATCTTGTTCACTCTTTGATTACGATGTGTAAGAGGATGCACCTGGGGCGTACCAACGGTAAGGAGGCGTAGGTTTATGTAGAACTCAGGATGGCAGTGATGGAAACTCAGCTATGGCGGTTTTCATATAAATACAAACAGTCTGGTGCTGGGAAGTTGCGTGGTAGAGGAGTTGCTGTGCAGGAGCTTAGAGGAGGTGGTTGTGTTGCAGAGCTTAGAAGGTAGACTTGGCGAGACTGGGAGCTTATATACACGTCCACCGAAGTAAGACCAAGTAAGCGTCGCAGGTCATCCCACGAGTCTAAGATGACGAGGCCTGTTAGAGAACTCGCCGGTTGGCTGAACCCCACCGCGAGTCTAGACAGTTAGGCTTGTGGTGAGAGTATCCACTACAATATTCCCTCCCTCCGAGCGCTGCAGGAAACCTGTTGTCGGTTGGGTTGTATCCCACAAGTGAGACATAACGGGCCGGGGTGTGGACCACTCGGTCGCTGCAGGTGACGACTCCGTCTAGGGACACGAAATTTGTGGGAGAAGGAGAGGGTGAAGGAGAGTTGTGGATAAGAGAAGGCTGTACAGGCGAGGAATGCTGGGCTTCTCTCGCAGCAGGTACAAAGTCCTCAGGGGCGCCGGGTGGGATATCTGGGTCATAAGGGATGGGCACCCTCATCAGGAGCAGTAGGTACCTAAGGATGAAAAGAGGGTATGCATAAATTTTAGGCGAGGTGGTGCTGCAAGTGGCAATTGTGGGCAGACAGGTGAAGGAGGTGCGGATGAATGTGTTCAGGGCGATGGGAAGGCTGGCGTGGGGCAGTAGCCTAATGCAGAAGCTGCCTGTCGTGGAGGTTTGCAGAGGTCGATGGGGCAGCAGGAGTGAAGTGGTCGGTCAGGGTAAGGTGTGATGTGCTGCTTGAGAGTGTCGGAGGTTATGGCGTCTACCAATCCCCGTCAATGTCGCTTCCTCGTAGTTGCAGGAGCCCTACAGCGTCTAGCGTTAGGCACCAAAACGTTGATGGTAACAGAAGGTAGGTACACTGTGGCTGAGGGTGGGGCCTGAGGAAGAACGTGGGGGATGTTGGGGCAGGACACAGCGTGGGGCAGGAACAGAGCAGCAGCAGGCATGGAGGAGCAGAGCTGCTCGAGGGTCGTCTATTCTGCGGTGTAGAGACTGTAGCAGGTCCCCTCGTCTTGTTTGTCTGGTGGAATACTACTTCTCTGAGGATGTTGATCTGGTTGATGAAACCAGGTTAAGTGGAAGGTACCAGCAGTTCGCGGCAGCATGGCGAACAGCAGGTATTTGTGGAATACTCTGTCTGCTGCTGGCTGCATAGCCGAGGTAGAGAGGTCCAATGCCGAGAGGACGAGACGAACTCTGCAGGAGCTTTTGGAGTGTGAAGCTGGCACAGGATAGTGTCAGGAAGCCTGTCTGTGTGGGAAGTTCTGTCCCGCATCTCGCCCCAGGAGACGTGCAGGCATTGAGTTGCTGAGGAGAGACCGGATAGGTCTTGCAGCGACTGGGTCAGGCCGCTGGTATCGCCTCCTGAGAGCATCTCAGAGCTGCGAATTCTTGTTGAGGTTGGTGATAACTTCTGCAACTTGTGTGGCGACTTCTGTGGGCAGGGCAGACCAGGGCGAAATATTTCTGTTCGTCTGTAGCTGTGCCGATGAGAGCTGCCTCATGTGGATTAGCCAGTCTTTAATGTTGTGATTGAAGACTGAGAGGATCCGCTTCTCATCCATCCTGTGTGAGCGCCTGGTTCACCATTGGGGTTTCGTATGTAGAATCGCAAAGGATGAAGGTGAGAAGGAAACTCAGTGCGGTTTTTAAATAAGTTTATTAAGGGTATGGTGGTTAATCGGAACACCTTGCCCCAGTTGATACCAGTCACCATATAGTGTTGTCATTCAG